CTGAATTATTTGTACATCTCAACTCAGCAGCTGGTTAATTGCCCGACAGAGTGGCTGTCTCCCTTTATCCAAAGGCCTATACACGGAAGCTCGTTTCTGGTTCTTCAACCCAGACAAATAGTTGGAAGGGTCATAGGCTCCGGAGCCATGAAATTTACTATCCTCTCGTGAACATTATACCTGCAAAAGCATATTTATTAATTTCCAAAACAAATCATAGCAGGTCTTGCGACTCTTAGAGGCTCGTCTGTCCACAATCTTCCTCTTCTTAGTATGCAACTTTTTCAGAGAATAAAAGGCCGTCTCTGTGGAAAACCAAATAGTGGAAAATCAGAATCATTAAATAATATGCTGGCAATAACAGGAAGCAACTATGTCAGACCGCTCTATTTTGAACGTTCTAGCGACTTGAATAATAGAGTTGAGGATCGACTAAGCTCCAAACCCACCATAATGGAGAAAATGCAGTGAAATTATTGACTTTGACCACTTGGGGAGATACAATAATAAACAATTGAAAATGCAAGAATTTTTCAATGCAATTTGATTGCATTTGTTGTTTTGAACTACAGGAACTCTTAAAGATTGGGTATAACCATATAAGTGCACATTTAAAAGATTCATATGAAGTATGGGATGCCCCAATAATTTTACCAGAAGATGCTGGGTCAATTGTCTCAAAAAATTCTTTCAGTAATTGCTGGTAAAACTCGGAGTCGTCTAAAAGTTCTGGGTCGCCATCAGCTTGTGCACCAGCATCACATTGTGTCTCCTAAGAGCATCTCCACCCACAAGAGCTAAGTCTAGGGCAAGGGCAAGCAAGGGCTGACACTATTCACATGAATAGTGTCAGCTTTGCCATTTGTGGTTCCACCCATGAGGGCTAAGTCTAGGGCAAGTCTAAGGCAATTACTATTCAATTAAATTTATTTTTTATTTTTTATACTTAAACCATTGATTTTGATAAGCTTTTTGGATAAGATTTTCAATTCCCAAGTGTTAATATTTATAGTAAAATCCTCACTTAAAAATCAAGATAACATTTTCAGATAAAATTTTGAAATTTTTAGTTAATAAAATTTTGGAAAGTGAATAATATTGGTAGGTAATATTGGTAGGTATGTATAGAAAAAATTTCAAGAATTTTTTGATATTTTTTTCAATTTTTTTTAGCCAAAAATTGGACAACCGTTGGATTGTGCAAGATTTTTTGATTGGAGGCTCCAGGAGAAGCCACATGGCTTGTAACCATTGGGCAATGTGGGCTGGTGGGTCCAACAGTTAAAAAAAAATTGAAAATCAGCTGCTGACGTCCGCAGCCCGAGGGCAACAGCCCAGTCAAGATCTGCCCTTGGGCTTGCCAGGGCTGGTGGGACCCATGGCTTGCCCGGGCTGCAGGTGCTGCGCTGGAGTGCGAAACTGGGCTTCGGGGGGCCTTTTGCCCGGGTTAATGCCTAGCGCTGGAAGTGCTCTAACAGAGTAAAGGAATAAAATTAATCAATTTGTGCAAATAGAAACATAACTTTCATGACATATCAAGGAGGAGATTGATGCAAACAAAGCAAAATATTAATTAAAAGATACAATTAAGGCTAATGACGCATGATGAGTATTAAAAAAAGAGTGCTGCTAAATGAACCCTAAAATTAACTGAGTACACCCTACTACCAAATTATTTATTGAATTACTAATTTACCCTAATATAAAATGACCAAAAAGGATATATTGAATTATGAACCCTAAATCCTAAATCCCAAACACCGTTGTCATCTTCTCCACCGACATAACGCCTCCTTCATAACATCGTCTCCTCCACCGTCACACTAACACCGTCGTCGCATTCGCTTCTCCACCATTACAAAAATGCCGTCATCATACCATTATAATGGCATTATGGTCCTCTGATATTGGTAAATCTCATTTTGATTTTGTTATCAAATGGGTTATACTGTCTTGATTTGTTCTTCATTGCCAACAATGTTTTGTAACCTTTCTCTGGAAATTGGTTTTAATTTGTTCTTCAAAGGGAGCAATTTCTGGGTTGTTTAATATTGATGATTTGAAGAGATCCATGACCATGTGGGTATGCTACAGACTTGCTACAAACATCGGAAATGCCTTTATAGCTTTTCTGGTTTAGATCCAAATAATATGTTGAGGGCCCATGAAAATTCCTTCATATAACTTGTGAAATCAAATAATAAGTTCAATGTGTGTGTCTATAAATTCAATACATTTATAAATATAAACATAGGGCACAAATTCATGTAAAAAGAGAAATTTGGTTTATGATTGGTATTAAGGTATTGTGTGATAGAGTGTATAGGTGTATCAGGGGTATTTTTGATAGTTAAATAGGGTGTACTTAGTTAATTTTATATTTTAATTAAAATATTAAGGTGTATTTAGATCATAGGGTGCACTCAGTTAATTTTAGAGTTCGTTTAGCAACACTCATTATTAAACATCGCATTAAATCCAATTCTAGATCATGTGTTCAAATTCTCTTAGTAACGCTT